TTTTTTTTTTTTTTTTTTTTTTTTTTTTTTTTTACAGTGTTCTTGCTATATAAGTAATGCCACTAATAATGTTATAATTACAGAAAATTGATGAAAAAATCTAGCTTGAGTTTTTCTGAGGTTATCGTTCTAGGAACAACCTTATTTTGTTGTCATTTATGAAACTGAAGTACGAATAAACTTTTTCAGCGTCATTCTCATTGATAATGGTCACTTTTTGTAGACTTAGAAGGCCAAAATTAATAAAGTAAAAATACTTACTTATTAAGATACCTGTCGTTGAAAGGTGGCTACATCATCAGATGTTTTTATTTCACTTACTTCAGTTTCTACAGATTATAAAAAAATAACCACCATTAAAGAGATTGATGTTGAAGAACTGATTTAAAGTGTAGTCTCATAACCGGTGAATTTTCTACTGCTACAATTTTTAAAGGTTTGAAATGATTACAATAAAAGCTGTGCCTTTGTTACTATTGCCTAGTGATTTTTCTATAAGAAAATTTTCTTCTCAAACAGTAACTCTTATACTATAGCAATGAGAATTGAAGGTCATATTTCTTAGCAATTAGAAAAAAAAAATTGTTTGATTCTAGCAGATTTTAGACTCTATAGCTTGGGAAATAAAAGAATACGTTTCAAGTGTAGTAAAATATTGCTTCTTTTAAGAAATTTTAACTGTCTTAGCATTAGAGTAATGTTTTTAATTTACATAATTGTTCTGATGGAAAAGCACTGAAAGTTAAGAAAAATAAACTTTCAGCATGACAGCTTATAGAATTTCTTGGCTTGCTATATAAAACTCATTCAATAAATAAAAAGCAGCAATTTTTTTGCCACTCACCATCATTCGAGTTCTTTTTGAAGTAGTTTTGCTGTTGTCAACTGATGTTAGTGTAAAATTTCAACGAAAAAATTTTTGTATTAAACTGCAGTACGGCTTTTAAACCTTTTAGTTTAAAATGTTAAATGCGTTATTCTATATGTTACCTTATTCTACTTTTTCAGTGATACCCTATAATACTTAGCAGCTTATTGTTTGCTGATACCACTTGTTGTAATATTTAAAACTATCCTTGGCCTTTAATCAAGTTATAAAAAATTGCAAAGTAACATGTTACTCCACTTAAAAAATAAAATATAAATCTGGCAAAATACTCACATTAGACATCGATAGGTGAATCGTCATGGGCATTTGATAGGGCAGCCAAAAGAATGAAGACTGAGAAAGAATTGCGAAGAGATAAGTCGACTTCTAAAGTTTCACCAAGTTTAACAGTCAACTGCAAAACTTCCATTAAATTTTATGGTGTTACAGTGCTGAATTTTGATTAACAGTATATTCTTGGTATACGTCAACATTTACTTGCAATGTTTATACTAAATTTTAAAGCAAGTTTTAACTGTTTGTCACTGTTAAGTTGCGTATTATTAGCATTAAAAAAAAAATAATTTGCTTTTGTAAACTAACCTTTAATTGTCATTAAGGATCTTTTTTATGAACTTGTTTAACAGCCTAAGTAAGAGAAGGGTATGAGGTTAAAAGGATTAAATACTACCATATAAAAAACCTAATAATTACGCAGTTTTATATTAAGCTGAATTTTAAAATAGAATATCTATAAAAAATTAAAATTTGCGAAAATTATAATGTTAATTAGTTAGAATTGGCTTATAAACACAAATACAGAAAAAAAAATACAAAAAAAGTAGAATAACC